CAGGCAATTCTCCTGCCTCAGCCTCCTGAGTAGCTGGGATTACAGGCACGCGCCACCATGCCCAGCTAATTTTTTGTATTTTTAGTAGAGACGGGGTTTCACCATGTTGACCAGGATGGTCTCGATCTCTTGACCTCGTGATCCACCCGCATTGGCCTCCCAAAGTGCTAGGATTAGAGGCTTGAGCCACAGCGCCCGGCCCGAAAATATTTTTAATTTACTAGCAACTGCTTGAGAGAGTACTATGATGGATATAAGAGGTTTAAAATCAAGATTGGCTATGGGCTAAACCATAAGAAAGGCTGACATTTAAGGGACCTATTTTAGAAGGTAGTAAAGGGCAGGTCAACAGGGTGGGAAAGAACCAAAATAGGTGTCAAGGAGCTCCAAAGAGATAAACCAATTTGGCACATGCATTACTGTAACCTTTGGCAACTGAAGCAGGAGAAAAAATAGAACAAGGTCAGAGATAAAGCTGAAGCTCAACTTCTTTAGATTAAAAACTGAGTAAGACATGACTAGTGGAATAATTACTGTAAGGATCATCTTTACTAGATGAGAAGGAAGAGAGAGATGAATTAAAGAGAGTGCTATCTTATACACAGGCCTAGTGGCAACGAAGTTGAAACTTGTAGACATGCAAAAAGGACTTGCTGAACACTAGCTGTCTGCCAGGAGCCAAAAGATCATGTAGGGACAGCAACAGTGAATACAGGCAATGGCCCTGTCCTCTGATATAGTGCAATGAGTTAAGCTGGTAATCAATGGAGACCCCACAACAGACAGGATAAGGAGCTTGCCTGAAGGAGAGGCATCTTTTCCTCTGATGGTGGTATAATCGCAGGAATGAAATGATTAAGAGGGGCATATGGAGATGATAAAGATCACATCTTATCTTTTTTCTTTTTTAATGTAAAGTAAAGGCTACAGGTAAAACAAAATGATAAGCATCTCACTTTACTCGTCAACAACTCTCAGATAGTAAAGTCCCTATTTGTTTGATTTTTTGCTATTTATTTTTCAGACAAAAAATGTGTATATTTATCTATACATAACACATCATTTTGAAATATGTGTGCTTTATGAAATGGCTAAATCAAGGGAATGCATAAATAATATGCATTACCTCACATACTTTTTGTGGTGAGAGAACATTTAAAATCTACTCAGTGATTTTCAAAAATATAATACATTGATATTAACTACAGTCACCATGTTGGACAATGGATTTAATTTTGTATCCCTTGACCAACATCTACGCAACCCTCCCACCTCCAACCCTCATCACCTGCCCCAGGATCCCCATTCTTGACACATAAGGCAACAGACACACAGTAAGGCTTGATCACCATCAAATAGCTAACAAGGGGTTGGGAGACCAGACTTTTTTAGTTCTATTCATGTTGGCAATGTGAAGACCACCACCCCAAACCAAGATCCCTAAGTAATGCTGATGCTGCAGGTCCACAGGCCATGTGTCGACCCAAGCCCTGGAGAATCCTAGTATCCTCACAATGCCTCAAAGTATTCAACTAAGACTATGACATTAAGGAGCTAATAATAAAAGCCTGAGGGAGGGTGGGAGGAGAAAAAAAATAAAATAAAATAAAAGGCTTGAGTATTTGGCACACAGTCAAACCAACAGTATGATCTTAATAAATGACAGATGACCAGTGGTAGTAAGAGGAAGTGGCTGCTGTAGAGGCAGAAGAGCAGTGTGATGACAGCATAGATTCAAGGGCAAATCTGTGACCTGGGCAAGTTACATAACCACTCTGTGCCTCTGTTTCTCTATTTGTACAACAGGGATAATTATAATAAATACCCTCTTGGGTTGCTTGGTATATTGAGTACACAGGTACGTAGAGCCCTTAGAACAGTATCTGGCATTTAGTAATTGATCAGGGGTTTCATTTTACTACTACTGCTACTGCCACTGCTTACTACTGCTGCTACTATGGATTACTAGTAGTATGACTCACTAGTAGGGAGGCAATAAAAATGCATCAAAAGGAGTCCCATCTGCAGCCAGATTACACCACAAAACTCTTTTAGAGCTAGAGGAGTATCTATCACTGACAGTGTAATTTAAATATGAAAGTCTTTTCCTTGTTTTGCTAATGTAGGAGTCAGATCATGTTAACAGTGAACTTGAGTTCATAACAATGCATTTCTAAGTGGTCAGAAATATCTGAAGAAATAAAGCCATAAAGCCACCCATCAATTAGTTTGACCTGTTTCTTCTTTTTTTTCTGAGACAGAACCTTGCTCTGTCGCTCAGGCTGGAATACAGGGCCGCAATCTCGGCTCACTGCAAACTTCGCCTCCCGGGTTCAAGCAATTCTCTGTCTTAGCTTGCCAATTAGCTGAGAATACAGTCAAATGCCAAGACGCTCAGCTAATTTTTGTATTTTAAGTAGAGACAGGGTTTCACCATGTTGGCCAGGCTGGTCTCGAACTGCTGACCTCAAGTGATCCGCCCAACTCGGCCTCCCAAAGTGCTGGGATTACAGGCGTGGACCACCAAGCCTGGCCCTTTTTTTTTTTCCCCTCTTTTGAGACAGGGTCTCACTCTGTCACCCAGGCTAGAGTGCAGTGTCATGATCAGGGCTCACTGTAGCTTCGACCTCCCACGCTCAGGCAATCTTCCCATCTCAGCCTCCCAAGTAGCTGGGACGATGGCAAGCATCACTGCATCTTGCTAGTTGTTTTTGGGTTTTGTTTTGTTATTTTCTGTAGAAGTGGGATCTTGCCATGTGGCCCGGGCTGGTCTCAACCTCCAAAATTGCTGGGATTACCGCCACCATGCCTGGCCTCAGCTGTTTCTTAAACAGAAAAATTGGAATAGAAATAGTTGTCTTGTTTGGCTGAAGACATTGGTCCTTCGAGTAGATGTTCACTGTACCATAGTGTATATCTTATGAGCACAATGACTCTATGTATCAAAATATTATGTCTTAGGATTGTGCCTATCAAAGTGAAGCACTCCAAAAAATGAAAAATAAATCCAATTTTCTAAATATTCCCATAAAAATAGTTCCCCCACATAATTTATCTTCTTCCACTTTTCTGCTTTAGATGTGGGCTAAAACATTTCCCCCCCCAGAAAACACAAACACTATTCTCAACTTGAATTTCAGGTTCAGCCTAGACAAAAAAAAAAAAAAAGTGGGAATGTACCATGTAAGCTGGCTCTATGACCCTTCATCTTCTCCGGAAGCGTTACTTTCGACATTTCAGCCAGCCAAGTCTAAACGATATATATCAAAAAGGTGGAGATAGTGCTATATAGGCTCAGATAGAAGATTAGATTTGTTAATAGAATGCCGATCCCATGAGTAATGCTCACAGCTGTGGCACCCAACAATGGAATTAACATTTCAACAGGAAGCAGAGAGCCATCACCACAGAAAGGGCCACCCGATCCCGCTTCAGAGCACTTAACAAAAAAAAAAAAAAAAAAAAAAAAAAAATTATCCTTCCAGGGGCTACACTAAGGATCCCACCTAGGATTTTAAAAAATGAATTATTTGGTTACAAAAAGCAGCAAGTGCTTAATTTGACAAACAAGATCAATTGGTTAAAAGACTGACATGGAAACATCCGTTTTTTGAAATGGCAAAAAACGGCATGTAAATGGCATGTAAAAATGCCTCCTAATGGTCCACGCATTTTTACATGCCATTTTCCCCCCTCCCAGAGAAAGGAGCAGTCGCAATTACCCTGTACAACTCAGTCCGTCTTATCTTCAAAATGAACCGACTCACTACAAACCTAAAAGCGAGGTCACTGAAATTCTCCTTTGCACTTTGCCTCGGGACTGCAGAAACCAATGCTGTATTTTGCGGGCACCCACTTTTGATTTCCCACGGTCTACTTCACAGTGTGCGTCGGCTTAGCTCTTGCCCGGGCCGGCTGCTTTCAGGAGACTAAGCACGTCCAGGCTGGCGTTTGCTCAGCGCCTCTTTCCTAGAGGTAGCCTGGCCGATCCGAGGCGCGGCGCAGCTCCTGGCCATTAAATAATGGCGTTTCAATTCAGCCTCCCCGCCTGGGCGACTCGACACCTGAAAACCCGCCGCCCAAGGCTTTTGAAATCGGGTAACGCTGGATAGAACCGACACGGAGGCTGACAAGGGAGAGGGCCAGAGTAAAGAAGGGCAAGCCCGCACCGGGGCAGAGAATTCTACGCGAGACCCGCGAGGCGCACCTGACGCTCCGCGCCCGAGCCCCTCCGCCGCGGCTCCACCCTGCCAGGCTGGGGCGCCCGGCCCCGCAAAAGCGCCCCTGCGCAATTCTGCCCGCCCCGCCGCCGCCGCAGCAGCGCCCCCAAATCGCGCCCGCCCCCTCCCCCACGACCCATTGTTCCTGGGTGGCTGCGGGCAGCCAGCGCTCCCGGGCTGGGCGGGGGCTGAGGACCCCAGGGCCCCCACTCACCCGCGACTCCGCACAGGAGCACGAAGCGCAGCAGGAGCGCCATGGTGGCTGCCGTCGGTGGGCGGCGGCTGCAGGTAGGCAGCTCTCGCTCCGGGTCCCAGGCTCCCCGGGCCTCGCGCGCTCCCGACTGGCTCCCGGCAGCGGCGACACCTCTGCACCCTCCGCCCCTCCTCCCCACCCCAGCTCTGCAGGTGAATTCGCGTCACTTCCGGAAGCGGCCCGGGCCGGGCGGCGAGCGCCGGCTTCTCCAGCCGCGCGGGGTTGCCTTGACAACCGAGCGCGGCGCTCCTCGGCCCCCAGGACCCTCCCGGCGCGGAACTCTCAGCCTCGCTGCGCGCGGCGTCTGAGGGCGCGGGCGGTAGCCTCCCACGCCGCGAGCCTGCGCCGGGGTCCCGCCTCCATCCCTTAAGCTAAATCAGGGTTTTGCGCGCGGGGGTGGGGCAGCCGGTCTCCCAGATACTGAAATTGCGTTGGCGCCCTCCTTTAAGGCGAGGCGCGGGACACCCGGAGGGGCCGCCGCTAGGGCGGCTCGAGCCTCCGCCCGCCTGCACCCACCCAGCGCACCCCTGGCGGCGCCACCCGCCCCACCCCTCGTCGTCTGCCCCAGGGGCAGGGTCTCTGACCTCAGGCTCTCTGGAAGCGACCTGGACAGCCCCCTGGGGTTCGCTATCTTAATGAGTCTCGTGGGCTGACATAAAAGACGCGAGAAGGCTTTTCACCATCTCCAGTAAGGATCGAGCCCCTGTGCTGCTGCTGATTTGGGAAATACCTGTTTTTTACCCCTTGCACATAAAGGCTGTCCTAGCCCTGAAGCTGGCTAGGAAGGACGCGTGAGTGACTTTGAAAGTGGGTCTCGGCCGGGAGCGGTGGCTCACGCCTGTAATCCAGCTCTGTGGGAGGCCGACCTGCAGTATCGGGTCTCCGCCAACCCTGCAGTATCATTTCTGCCTCTGGTGCCCACTACATTTGGGTTATTTTGCGGCTTGTTCTCGGCTGCTCTTCCAGATAACGTTTATTTATAACTACATACAGACTTTGGAGTGTCACGACAGTTCCGTATCAGGAGTGAATTAAAGAAGAGAAGCAGTGGGTAAGAGCTTGGGCTGCGGAGTGGGGCATTAACTGGTCAGGTTTCATAGAAATGGCACCTACCGGACAGGTGCGGTGGCTCCCGCCTGTAATCCCAGCACTTTGGGAGGCCGAGGCGAGCGGATCACGAGGTCAGGAGATCCAGACCATCCTGGCTAACAAGGTGAAACCCCGTCTCTACTGAAAATACAAAAAAAAAAAAAAAAAAAAATTAGCCGGGCGTTGTGGCACGTGCCTCTAGTCCCAGCTACTCTGGAGGCTGAGGCAGGAGAATCGCTTGAGCCCTGGCGGCGAAGGTTGCAGTGAACCGAGGTCGCGCCACTGCACTCCAGCCTGGGCGACAGAGCAAGACTCCGTTCATCCCCCCCGCCCCTCAAAAAAGAAACGGCTTCTACCTCGAGGTTGCTATAAACGTTAAATGAGATAATGCACAAAAAATGCTGGCACCCTGCCTGGCATATAGTTTTAATTAGCTTCCATTTACTGAGTTCCTGCTTACAGGTTTTCTGCTTAGGTAGTGTATCGGCTTACGTAGTCTGTCAACTTATATAGTAAGTTCCTGCTTACTATCTAGACTAAGCAAGAACCTGTAAGCAGAATTTAGTAAGCGGAAGCTAATAAAACTAATATTGGAAAACTTTTATGCATTGAACCAGAAAAGAGAAAGGGCAAAGAAATCAGTTATCAGGAAGACCAAAATTGCGCAACTGCAATTTAGCCTGGTGAGTTGGAATTCTGGCTGCACATTATAATTGCTTGGAGAACGTTTAAAAAATACTAGTGCCTGAGCCTTACTTCTGTGATTCTAATTTAACTTGATTTGAGTGGAATCCTGCTTTATGGCAGCTTAAATGACAGATGACCAGTAGTAGTGAGACGAAGTGGCTTTGCAAAGTGATCTAATTCTAAAGTTCTGTATGATCTGATTCTAAAGTTCTGCCAAAGCTTTTGCAACCTATTAAAAGTTCAATACAGACGGAGGACAACATGAATAACGGCTAGGGACTTCCTATTTGAGCAAACAGGAATTCTATTGGATATAATTGAGTGTAAATAATATTTTAAATTTTCACTCACCATATTATACGTAATGAAATCAAGGAGAAAACAGCAAGTATTGAAGTTATTCATCTGTTTAACACTGTTCTATAAGAACTTTTCTTAGTATTCACTGCTGCTTTAAAGTAGCACGCATTTGTTATAAAGTTAACTATCCTTAGCACTTCCTGCAATAGAAATAAAACCCACGCTTCAGGAATTATTTCAAACACTAGAGTAAATCTTAGAAATTACTCAAAAGGTTAAAGCCAGCAACAGTGTGGCTTGAACAGTTAAAATTAAAAAAAAAAAAAAGGAAAAGAAAAAAGAAAAAGAAAGACGTGCGTGGTGGCCCAGCATGTTGGGAGGCTGTGTTGGACAATCACCTGAGCCCAGGAGTTCCAGACCAGCCTGGGCAGCATGGCAAGACCGCATCTCTACTAAAAAAATGAGCCGAATGTGGTGGCGCGTGCCTGTAGTCCCAGCTACTCTGGAGGCGGAGGTGGGAGGACAAATATCCAATATTAATTTTGTTAACTCCCACTTACTATGTGCAGAAACCCCGTAAGCAGGATCTCAGTAAGAGGAGCTAATAAAGTGAGCCCAGGAGTCTGAGGTTGAGGAGAGCCATGATCATGCCCCTGCGCTCCAGCACGGGCGATAGAGCCAGACCCTGTCCAAGAAAGTAAGAAGAGCGAGAGGAGGAGGAATTCCCCAAAAGGATTTTCCTGATACTTTTTCTTATATTCGTAGCTTTTGCCTCCTTCTGTGTTAGGCATTTGCAGACCTATTAATTGCTTTCCTTGTTCTAAATACTTCTATAAGGATGAAAAAGCACGTTTTTTTTTGTCTTCCTCACTCCTGAAAGCACATAGTAGGTTCTCAAGTGTTTCTCAAGCTGAGTCAAATGCTTATTTTCTATGGCAATATGTTAATGAAATTTAAATATCGGTGCAGTAACAAATCATTACACCTTAAATAGATCTTTTCAGAATATATCTTTTTGTTTGTTTTTTGAGACAAAATCTCATTCTGTCGCCCAGGCTGGGGTGCAGTGGAGCAATCTCTGCTCACTGCAACTTCCACCTCCCAGGTTCAGGCGATTCTCCTGCCTCCTTCTCCTGAGTAGCTGGAATTACAAGCCTGCGCCACCACGCCCGGCTAATTTTTGTATTTTTAGTAGAGGCGGGGTTTCACCATTTTGGCCAGGATGGTCTCAATCTTCCTGACCTCATGATCCTCCTGCCACAGCCTCCCAAAGTGCTGGAATTATAGGTGTGAGCTACTGAGCCTGGCCCAGAGTGTACTTTTTAAAATGTAAGTTTTACAAGCTTAATTTTTTCTGCTTTTTTAGATTACTGAACACAGATTTTTTTTTTAAATGTGCCTACCATTCTAAGATTTAAATAATCTTGAAAGATACAGTCTATCTTATTTGGGGAACCATTGTTCTTTAAAAAGTTACATGAAGTCATTTTTAGACTTTGGTTTGTGACTAAATTATTTCATAAAACAGTAGGTAAAATTATGCAGTTATGTGAAATGTATTAATATATTAAAGACACCTTAAAATGCGTTTGTGGTAGTTGTCAGCTTGGAAATTGTTTTCTGGAAGCTAAAATAAGATAATCTTATTTATTCTGGAACATATAAATTATTCTTTTGTGTCTTCAAACCAAGCTAAGAAATAGTGCACAGCCATTAAGTAAATGCCCTGTCTTAGTAAAAAGCACCAAGAACTCCTCATTATATAGCCTCTAAACCAGCTTAAAGGTGATGATCCCTCATCCATCAAGAAGGTAATAATTACAGATACACAAATAACTGTGCTTAATAAAGCATCCATCCTTGCAAAAATGTCTCAGCACTAATGGATTTACCAACACACCCACAGATTATTTAAATCCTACAATCCCATTCATTCAAAGGTTAATTTATACTTAAGAATTAAAGGATTTTCACCTCTTCTCAGCTTGAAATATGAAGACATGTGAATCAAGAAACTTCCTATTACATGTGACACTTAATTTTTATTTTTTCTGAAAAATGATAATACTATTCTTAAGAAATGAAGGTTTCCTTCTAGTGTGTTCTATTTACATTACCAGGAACATTAGCTTTATGGGTCAATACCATCCAAAAGTTATGTTTGCCCCTAAGCAATGAATGTATAAATATATACCTTTTAGTTGTATGCCATGTGTATTATAAGTCAGGCTAGGTGTGATGGTTCTCCCCTGTAATCCCAGCACTTTGGGAGGCCAAGGTGGGTGGATCACTTGAGCTCAAGAGTTTGAGACTAGCCTTGGCAACATGAAGAAACCCCATCAGTACAAAAATTAGCTGGGCATAGTGGCACAAGCCTGTAGTCCCAGCTACTTGGGAGGCTGAGGTGGGAGGATTCCTTGAACCCAGGAGGTTGAGGCTGCAGTGAGCTGAGATCGTGCCACAGTACTCCAGCCTGGGTGACAAAGTGAGACCCTGTCTCAAAATAAGTAAATCAACCCTTAGCCAGTCACCTCAAATTTTTTTTTAATTTATTTTATGAGACAGAGGTCTTGCTATGTTTCCCAAGCTGGTCTTCAATTACTGGCCTCAAAGGATCCTTCTGCCTCGGCCTCCCAAGTAGCTGGGATTATAGGCATTAGTCACTGTATCGGGCCAGATTTTTTTTTTTTAGATTTCTAATGCAGATTCCAAAAATAAATACATAAAAGCAATACATTTATATAATACAGACAAACATTGATGATTTTATTGATGTGCTTTAAAAATATTATCCAAAGGTTAGGCGTGGTAGGTCACACTTGTAATCCCGGTGCTTTGGGAATCAGAGGCAGGAGGATTGCTTGAGCCCAGGTGTTTGAAGTTATATTGCAGCCACCACTGCCTCCAGACTGGGCCACAAAGAGACTCTGTCTCTAAAAATATACAATAAAGTGTTCTTATCCAAGAAGAATCTGTTTCTTTCAGTTGCTTACTTCTCTTTTTTTGGTCTCTTCATGCTGGTTTGGTTTCCTTCCTCCAGTGTCTGGTAATTCCTGGTTTTCTGCTCAAAGATTAAAATAGAGCAGAAAAAAAAAAAAGGATAGA